GAAGTATATTTGCTCTTTTCCCTTCTATGTATATTTGATGCAAGCGCTGCATTCCTAAAATAGTTTTGTCATTATTCATACAATTGTAACCTTCGATAAAATTTTCTTGAATTCTCCGCGTTCTTCCTTCATAGGAAAGCGATATCAAAGATGTTATTTTCGCCGCGTCATGGCCAAATTACATATGACATTCTCCTGCGATATTCCTGCTGGAACTTAATTATCAACCCACGGAATCTTGTCAAACGCCAGCATTTGCTTAAGAAGCATTTGCTCTTTTCCCTTCTATATGTATTTGATGCAAGCGTTGCATATTGCATTCCTAAAATAGTTTTGTCATTATTCGTACAATTTGTAAAATCGATGTGTATTTGATGCAAGCGTTGCATGTTGCATTCCTAAAATAGTTTTATCATTATTCGTACAATTTGTAAAATCGATATAAAATACACGGTACAGTGAAAAGATTGGTACTTACCGATAAATCATGCGTATATAGATATATACGTAAGTCACACAACATAGAATTTAACAAGATTTGAGTTATAGATTCAAGCGACACGAGTAATCGTTGCGTCGTATTTTGAATGCATTTACGTTACGTAAGATTGCCGTTAGTAGACACTTAACAAGGGCGAAAGGGGTGTGCTCGCGTTAGTGTTGAAGATTTGTCACGAAGATATTTACATCGCAAGGACAAGACGATTAGCAATGCATAACTCGATGGGATTTAAATCTGAATATTCATACCGTCAATGAGTGTAATAATGAGTGACGGCGTCCTACGCGCGGAATAAATATTCCGCCGCAATCACCGTAATACTATTTAAAAAACCATGTATATATTAAACAGAATCTACATATTTCACTTTATCGGATAATCACTTCACACATCAATAGCAAAACTCGAGCAATCTTTCAACGGATTTTTCAGCTGTAGTCACGATCGAGATGTATGTGTGCGTGTTAAATTTTATTGTTGTATTTGTTTTATCAAACGTTAATAAATTATTTCCGAATGCCATTAAACGCGATTATTATTATATTCTTTCTAATTTAATCTATTGCAGCTCTCTATAAATTAGAGAAACATTCAGGTTGTAACATTTTCCAATTTTAATTCAAATGTTTCGTAAGTCGCGATTTAAATCATCAAGCAGCACAATTGAAATAAGCAACGGAGATTAGAGAAAATCTCCGTGGAAACGACGAACGGTTGTCCAATTCTTTTGGAATCGGTTACCCGCCCGGCTCTTGGTTCGCTTTTATTGGAGATCGAAACTGCACGATCCGTCACAGTCGTTACAGCCCAGCATGCAACGGAAGTATATGCATGACGAGATTCGTCAAAACCTGACGCATCTCGCGTCAATCCTTGCCGCTGTAACGCAATTTGTTTTCCGTTTCGATGATTGACTTTAGCCTCCACGTGCAAAACATCAACTGAAAAATATTCTGGCACTATAGTTCCATGTGTTTCCAATTAACGTTGATAGAAAATTGTATACAATATACAATAGAGGAACTGTGCCTAATATCGCACCCTATTTTATAAAACTAAAATTTTGATTAAGAAATCCTATAAAAATATAGCTAAATCGCGCAATTTTATCCTAAGATTATCGTGATCTCAGTGGCATGAATGAGTTTGATGTTCACTTTTACTATCTTTTCTGAAGAAAAATAAAAAGAGTAGCATTTTGCGATGTCACAAAAAAATGTTCCTAATATCGTGCCTTTATACATTTTTATTAAAAGTACAATTGTGACGCACAATACATGCAGGAAATAGACATAACTCAAAATAAGGCACATATAAGATTGGTAAAGGTATCCCTTTAATGATTAAGAAAGCCCATGGGGTTTCACGGGCTATAGGGTGAGGTGATGCGGTCAGCATCCCGCCTAGCCGATTTACTCCGGGAAAAAGATCCTGTTACTCATTGAACAGGAGACTAAGGGAGCTTCAGAGGTATTCTATATATTCAGCGGTATAAGGAACAGTCCTAAATAAGGGGATTTAGGAATACTATCTAGAAATACTATCTAGGAATACCACATGGCGCAACATAACCAATTAAAAATTAAAGCATCACAACAATGGTTAGCAACGTATACAATATACACGTTCTTCTATAGGTAACATACAAAATAATTTTTTTCAAATAAAATTTTTTTGAAATTTCCTACGAAGCATCATTTAATGACAAATAATGTATGAAGTACAAAAAAATTATTAAAAAGACTAAATTTCCCTGTTTTTTTTAAATTTTTTTTTAATTTTTAATTAATAGAAATTATAATACAGTAATGTAAGTAATTTAATCTGGAAATACTGAAGTAAAGTAAATAATAAGATAAGAAAACAATATCGTTATATCTTCTTCGTTATGTTTTTGTATTGCATTTATTTCACGCGACGCAGAATGCAAAAAGTCCAACTCTCAAGATTCTTATCGTTTGCGAGACGCTTTCAACAGCGAGAGTACTATTTCATAATTTAGCCACGCATATACCGTTTTCTTCTTTAATAGAAATCCTCAAAGCTTGAAGCAAAAAGAGCTACAAGTCCCTCCATTTAAAAAAAAGAGAGAGAAAGGAAATATCCGCGAGCGTTTGATCCACTTTCGCGTTTCTCATATCTGTTGAAGTTGACACGAAGGAGGCAATCGCTTTCCGAAGTTTATAACATTTGACGACGCTCGGCAAGAGCAAGAGCATAAGTAAGAGCAAGTTAAAGAGAACGTGCCTTTTTCTTGTGACGTGTAAACAAATTAATAAAGACCGAAGCTTACGTTTCATTAGTTACAATATAAATCCGTTGCTACCGCATCACGCTGTCCACGTTACTCGGCATCCCCCGTTTACGAGATGGAAATTCTTTTTACCGCGATTTATTCACGTTAGCTTTCGCTACTCAATCGGTCGAATAATCGATTGACGTGTAGATCTTACTGGTGACAAGGGCAGAAATGAGGGGGCGAACATCCTCGTTTAGCAAGCAAGAGATAAAATTCTGTATCGCGGGGGAAAAAACTGTCAATATTTCTATATTTTCCATCACGATTACCTTAACAACTTTATCGATCGTCACGGAACCACGTGCCTTAACGATGAAATCTAGTTATAAATTGAGAAATCATGATTAAAAAGTAAGATAAAGCGAAAGTTTATTTAACATCACATTTGCTTAAAAACCGTGTATTGAAATTTGTGCACTTTAAATAATTTTATAATTTTATAGTAGTATAATACTTAAAATAATTCTGTCTTTTGTTTTGTTTCTTCAATTTTTTCCGCACGCAATTTTTCCATAAATTTTTTATTTGTGATAATAAACCAGAATGAAAGTTTTACTGAGGAGAGTGTTCTCTTCTTTTTTCCTTTCTCTTTTTCCATAAGTTGTTTCCTGTCAGACATTTCCTGTCTACGTGATTGTATTTCATGTTTTAATTACAAGATACATGATATAATCACTGTCCAATTATATAATTAATTAATATTTTGTATCTTATTTACGCCTTTGCTATCTATCAGCTAATAAGATGCAAGAAGATCGATATTTATTAATAATTTATTTAGTAATAATATCACATCGGGTTTACATATTTCCTTAGCCCATTCAGATTTGAATGAGCATTATGAGTGAGTGCCATACGATATCTTTATTGCGGTACAATATCTAAATTAAAATTACAAAAGTAAACTCTCTCAAACTCTTTCAAAAGTAAACTCTCTCTTTCCCCCCTTTCTCTTTCTTTCCGTTTTTTATTCAAGAAGTATTGTTCAAAGATACTATTTATATGTTACAGATCACGTGTGAACAACCAGTCAAAAATATTGCAACAGTGAGCAATTTAGTACAAACTTATTAAAAGTTACAGCCTTAAGTTTGAGATTAAAAAAACTTACGCAATCTTCTCTTGAGTTCATTTCAAAACATAATAAATATTACGTAAAGTGTTTTAGAGGAAATTTCATACACAATGTTATCAGCTTTCGTTCACTCAATTTTTGTTACAATGTCCGAAGTAATAAAAACTTACTTCGATTTTATTTACACTTATTAAAGGAACAGTTGTAATAGAGAGGGTTCGACATTAAACGTGAAAAAAAAAACGTTTCTCTGCAAAACGCTGAACTCCGAATACATTTTGATATCACAAAATTAATCAAATATTCTCTCACCGCGAGAATTACTGGCCAACAGTCTAACAGATTGCCTCCAGTTGATTTAGATTATGTTGAAACCCTCATAAGATTCAAATACGCATCCTCACCATTCAGATCCCATCTACTGTGTCAGCATTAAACATCGCATTCCGGTTTTATTCGAATTGCAAATGTGGGATACTTAATGACTAACGCATGGACAAATTTAATCGAGCACGGTGGTTCACTCTCTCGAGATGCAGAAAACTCACCTCTCGTAAACGAATGACTCTTATCAACGATTCCTACCAAATGACTCCTATCGGACATTGCGCGACATCCATAAACATTTCCCTCCTTATGTCTGTAGCGGAAAACGCTCCGTTTCTCCGGTTCTTTCCTAAACGTTTATAAGAAATGGTAATGTTCGGAGAGAACACGCGATCGTTATTCCTACTGCCTGCAAATGCACCGCTCTCTTATACTTGGAATATACCAATTACATACTAATTACTTGAGAATATCATGAAAAAATTGAAGAATTAATTAAACTACAGTGTGAAATGCAATCAGTATTTTTTGCAAAAGTATTTTTTACTTTAATACATAAGAAAATTTTCAAGAATAAATTAAAAAAGAAAATAGCGTATTTTTTATAAAAAGAATTCTTTATTTAAACTGCATTAATATAAACTCTAATATTTATATAAACTAAACGTTTAAATTAGTTTTCCAATATCTGAGACGTGTGCAACTTTACGTACTACTTTGCGTGAAAAAGACATTTATACGATAGTTGCAATTTCAAAAAGAAGGTAATTAGAAATGCGGGAACATGTTTGTTTCAGGAAGCGAGCAGACGTAACAAAGTTGCGAGAAAAATGAAGAGTTAAATGGAGTAAGTTTAAAAGAGGTTCGAAGGACCATATTCCTGTATATTCAAAAGTCATTTCCGCTTCTCGATGGATACTAAGCTCGACGTTACGATAGCTTATAACTTTTTAACGGATCAATCGCCTTGACCAAGTCCAAATACCTTAGCCGCAAATCTCTAAGAGAGTTTCTCCAATAAAATAGAAAGATTTTGTCACAGATGAAAGTCGCGATGGTCAAAGATGAAAGCAACAGGAAATTGTTTTCGTCAGATAATCCAAAATGAAGATCGAAGATTATGACCATTATATTCTGGCTGAAGTATCTCGTTATCCTGATGAAATAATCGAATCGTTATGATTGGTACTTATGGAAGAATGCTTCCTTTATTCCTAATCAGCCAATCTCGTTAGGGACGAGCGATAAATCATTCAATCAATCGTTCGTACCACTGCGACCGAGCTGCGACGTGGCAGTCCAAAAGACTAACGTCATGACATCATACGTAAGAGGATGGGTCTACGATGAGGAAAACTTGACCCGAAGAAAACCGCATAGACAAGGATAAGAGCGAATATTTTTCTATCGGGGGTGAGAGCGACAATGTCAACGCTCGATACAGACACGCCGCTACCGTCCACCACTTATGCCGGGGAATTAACGACCACACTCATACCCACCGTCACCAGGATCGACACGAGACTGGACATCAGTCCCGTCTCGGTGGTCCTGGCGGTCTCCATAGTGTGCATTCTCTCGCCCATCACCGTCACCGGTAACTCCATCATCCTAGCCGCCTTCTATAAATACAAAAGACTCAGGACCGCTTCCAATTGCCTTTTAGTTTCATTGGCCATTAGCGACTTCGGGGTAAGTCTTACATAATTTCTATCATGTATTCTTATATAGTTATAAAAAGTGTGCACTTGTACATATAATGCTACATGTATAAGGAAAGAATATTTATATAAATTATATATTATTATATAAAAGATATTATACAAAGGAGTAAAATATTAAATTTAAAGAATTTCTGAAAAAAGATAATACAGAGTAAACCGATACTTTACATGAAAGAGATTTATCATCGTATATATCTTAATTATTTAATTAAATGTACATTTTATTGTGCCTCGCGACGTCAATAAACTGACAAGTCTGTTTCTTTTTGCGTGTTTAGATTATATAGTTAAAAACAATCGTCACTGGTACTCTAGAGTATTCTTGCAGTGGAAACTGATTTTTAATGCCAATCTCGCGTTTCAAGTTTCTTCACGAGTCCAATTTACGGAACGTTATTTCCTCGCGATAGCAAATGTACAATCCTGATTTAGATCCGCAATAAACGGAAGTTGCCCGTTTTCGTTGGTAGATTGGCGTATTTATGCCGGTCGGGATGCAGCTGGAGCTCTCCGGTCTACCGGAAAACGGCGTTTCCGCTCTCTGCATCATGCCGTATTGCATTGTGATCGCGCTCTGCAGCGTGAGCGTTCTGGTCACCGTGGCCATCGCGGTGGACCGTTTGACTTCGTTGGCGCAGCCATTGCGATACAAGAACATCATCACCCACAGCAGCGTAGAAAAGTACATCGCGGTCTTTTGGATATACGCGATCGCCGTTGGCCTCTCGCCCCTCATCTATGCTCAAATTACCGGTGGGATGCAGTCGCACAGGTAACGATATGTTTACTCAAAATGTGTGACATTTAAATGAAAAATTGAAATAAATTCAGGCTTGCGTGATATTACGACATGCATAAACTAAATATTCTTTTATTTAATAAATGATGGCTCGTAGCGGTATAAATTCGACCGTGATTTCAGATAAATTTATTTAGGCCGGCCGAAATAAATGTAGGTACGACGGGGAACTTGCAATTTGGGAAATATTTAATCTCAAGTAAAAGTGTCTAATTTAGGTTTGGATGGAATAGAATATACGAACCATTTAGTTTAATCAAAAGTACATTGATATAATATACGCGCGGATTTTACTCTCATTTCTCTTCGTATACCTTTTATCAACCAATTTCCATAGAAAATTTAGAAAGAAGAGGAACAATAATACACGTGTAATTAATGTAAAATTTTACGTCGCGTTTCTATCTAAAAATAAAATAATTTGTTTCCATTAGAACTTTTCAAAACAAAATTAAAACTTTACCAGTACAAATATCGATTTTGTTCTTGTCCCACGCGAATTAAATTAATTGTGCCGGCGAACAAAACGCACCTATATCAGTTAGCACATTTTTCTGCGAGAAAAATAATCATCAGAATGGAAAATTCGCCATAGAATATGACGTGTTATGTATGCAGTATTATTGTCGCAAAACTGATATTTAAAATGCACGACAACAATTTGATTAATTGAATAATGAATCCAGACAACTTGCTCAAAAAGTTAAACAACGTTAATATCTCGTTGATTAAAATTTAAGAAATAAATTAGTCTTTTGCGTTTATCAATTATAGCATTCATATTGATTATGCTTTAACGATCGACACTACGTTCCTATAAATAGAACTGTGAGCAATATTGTATTAAATTGCTATCTGAAAATATCAACATGATTTATACGTATCGTAAATAATTCTGTGACACGTGCCGGAGAAAGTGGATACATTACGTGACTGGAATAACTAAAAGCCAAATAAGTGCGTCATACGCAATATTGTAAAATATATCATTGCACAAAGATAAAAATCGGAATAAATATTATTTAGTACCATCATTTTTCTTACACCTTCATTTTAATATCCCTTTTTTTTACTTTTTAATAATAATATTTTTTAACAAAAAAATAAACTGCCAAAGGGCTTAATATATCATAATGCATTTTCAATTATAAGTTTAATTACAACAACAAAGAAAAAACATATTTTTATTATTTTCTAAATTAGGAGAAGTACAAGAATATAATCAAATATTAAAATTCACTAAAGTGTAGTTGCACTTGATATTTTTATTTAAAAAGTTACATTTTATTAAGCATTGTAATTTTTCTATTATCCTCGATTTTTAATAATGAAGAAAATTTTCATCTTCATTATTTTCACATTCTATCTCAATATCAGAAGTGGGTCTTGGAAAATATAATATGTTATATTGCTCTCCCTCTTTCTCTCTCCTTCCCTCTCTCTCTCTCTCTCTCTCACACACACGCACACACACACGCGCGCGCGCGCGCACACAATGTTTGTCACTTTAATAATTTGCAGTTATAGGCAACTCAAGGCAAACAAAAGCAATTAACTCGATATTCAACAAACTTTTCACACGATCTCATAAACATAATCTCTTCGAAGGCGCAATTGCGTATCAAATTATATTGTTGTTAGGACTTACCACGATATTAGCTTTACGGTCGCATTACTTGCATTACCTGGCGAAGTAGAAAAGCTTTTTACCCTGTAATACTGCAGAGTCTGCAGATTGTACACAACCGATTAAGCAATGCACTAAAACGTAGATGAGAAGAGAGCGACAGAAAGGTTCTTTAACCCTTTGATAACTTCGCGCAATTAAAACAGTCTAGGAGAACCTTTGTTCCCGATCCGTTTATCTCGTTACATTTATGAAATACAAATCCTAATTGACTTATTAAACACATTTTATTTGCAGCGTGGATATAATCGATTCTTGCATAGTCCTTTTATTGGCTTTTGGAAAAATAATAAACTTCAACTCCAAAAATAGTCTGTTTTAATTTAACAAATCATACAAAAAGGCAAAATAAATGAAAAACAGTTGAAAAAACAACATTGACATTTAAACCGTGCTGGACAGATATCAAATGATACGATAGTTATTTTAATTTTAGCGCGATTAACCTTTGATTTTAACTTATCTTGCAGCGGAAGCTGCAGGTTCGATGCAGCCGTGTTACCACCGGTCAGGGTGTTTCTGGTCGTGGCAGTTTGGGCACCGAGCGCCCTAGTTCTACTTGGCTGCTACATGTATGTCTATCTTGTCGCACGTGCACATGCACGTGCAATTTACACGGTGGAATTATCGTTCAGACATCAAACGCAGACATTGGCGCTGCCTCGTTACGGACAGACGCTGGCACTCACGGTCGGCGCGTTTCTTATCCTGTGGCTTCCATTCCAAGTGAGTATCACAAGCACACCGCGCAAAACGGCAAATAGACTTTCATCACTGCGGAAAGACTGTAAATTTCTGATTTACACCGTTAATATAAGATCCAAGCTTCACGCTGCGAACATAAGATTCCACATTGCGCCGCGTCTGACCATTAAATCCCGTCACTACTTAAACGTCGCGTCGACCGTGCGACGACATCAATTTCATTTCGCTCTCGCTTCATGCTTGCGTGCTTCTTATACTGGGGGAACAAGATTTAAGTTTAATATAGCGGTGTAATACGATGAACAAACTTTTATAATCGATGCTCGCGTATCACAGTGACGGTAATAATGCAATTCGATATTAAACAATCGATAAAAATAAGTTGTATGAAAATATTTTATATAAACATTTGATTAACTTGTTGTAACGCAATATTTAAATTTTTTTAAAGTCAAATAAACACGTGTATATCAGTTAATCGTTTATTGCATCGCTAAGTCATCTATTTGACATTGCTTCTTAAAATGTCGTCATTTTTGCACAAAGTTTTATCTTGCGTCCAAATGTCACCAAAACTCATTTCGGGCAAGACGTACAATTACTTTGGAAAACTTTGGAGACAATGACTCGTTTACTCTTTGCCATTACTAATTTATACTTGTATTTACTCTCTGTATTGACTTCACGTTATCTCTACCAGCTAAATCAAGCACATGCGCATGAATTAACTAATGTAAGAGAATCAAGTTTTAAATGTTTATTATAAGATAACACATTTATCGCTTTATAAGTAAAATTCCTTTTTTACACAAAACGCGACCACGATAGCAAAATGCGCATGCATATTCTTCCATTAAGTTCCGCATCATCTGTTTATATTACAAAATGCAAGGTATGCTGATACAGAAAGTCGTGAGACTGGAAAACGTAAGATTAAAGGCCATATCGTGTCTACGTGGTTAAATATTCTCACCAAAGATAAACCTAAAAAAATCCATATAAAGGAATATTTTTTTTCAAATAGTATCTTATTCAAAATTTTTTGCATTTTGGAATTAACAATGAGGTAAGTTTCCAAGATTAAGCGTCAATGCGTTGATTTATTTGAAATTTTCGTTAGATTGATTTGAGAAACAGGGACATTGAAAAACTATATTATATAATAAAAAGTTACCTTGATTTTAACTTATCTCATCTTGTCTTAAGAGAGCGAAAGTTTCATTTAACGATTACAAAGAATCAACGCAATTTGGCAAATTACCAGACGCTAAAACATGTTTACTGCGTTGCTAGACGTGAAGAAAGGAGAGAAACGTGATATTGCTCCGTGTTGATCTTCTTGTTACTTTTTACGAACCTTGCCTCGTAAAGGAGCAAACGAGGAAACAATTGCAACGTTTCCTCGAATGCCGAGTGTGCCAAATTTCTTTTTAACGTGAAAACTTGTAGTTTTCACTGTAGTTGTAAACTGTTAGAAGCGAGTAGACAAAATTTAATTTAAAGTCCTTCTGGTAGACGATAAACGAAAAATCATACGCGTAAATCACGTTATATTTCACATATAGATTATATCGATTTTGTGGTACTTCGCAAACTACGCAATGGAGCAAGCAAAACTCTCGCAAAATGTCCTCTCCTCCGCTTTCCGTGGAAGAAACAATCTTCATGTTTCTCTTTTGGAAAAGTTTGAAAGGATTCGCGATGCACAGTGAATTTCCATCCGGATGAAGTAAGGTGGATTTGAATGGGTCGGTGCGACGAACAATTTGTCGACTTTCATATTTCGAACGTTATCTCCGTCTTTCAACACGTGACTGTATAAAAATCTACTCTCTTTTCTATAACGCGATGGAATTTCTAGCAACTGCGAATAAATAGAATTGCGATAACAGTTGCTTTCCATTTACATCAAAACTCAGGTACTTAATTCTCACTTGTGACGTCATAACTCAGTTGAACGCACGTTCTTTTTGCATGCTGGCAAGTGAGATTCAACTGAGTTTTTATCCACAATCGAGACCATGTGCTTTAATGAATCTAATAGACTCACATTGAAAGTGAGACTATGAACCATTGAACCATTGAACCTGTATTATTATGCGATAGCTTTGTCGCCAAAATAAGCAGGTAAATACAAAATGACATATCTTATACCTGAGTATAAAATACTCACATAACTGAGTGACTCAGATCACTTGAGTGTAAATGGAAAGCAACCAATGTAAACACGCGATTCTTTCAATCTCCAACACGCTTCCTTTCTTTTCTAGACTTGTATGCTGCTGGACATTTTCTGCGGCACCAACATTTTATCGGAATGGGCGGTGGTGTGGCTGGGCTTGCCGATCCTGGCGCACAGCGGCGCAAATCCCTGGATCTACGCCTTTCATCACGGCGAGATGCGCATCGCCGCCGGCAAGATTGCCGAAGATCTGGTCTCGCTGTTCGGCGTGATGCCGGGCCGTTACGGCTGCTCGCCGACTGGATGCGGCACCAACACGAATCTCGAGCTAGGCGAGGTGAATAACGAAGATAGCAACGAGAGCAGGCATCCGCCCGTGGAGGATTGCTTCGCCGCCGCCAAGCACCACAACGTTCTTTACAGCAGAAGGTGCCTGGAAACGTCAGGCCAGCACACCGATATCTCGTCCGAGAAGCACGGCATCGAGCACGTCGCGTCCTGCAGCAGCCGACCGAGCGACATCATCGAGGAAAATATTCACGACCTGACGAAGATGCTCGACCCGCGATACGTCATCGATCGGAATCACGTGATCGACTCCAATCACAATATCGACAAGCTGAAAAATCTCAAGTATCTGCTGGATCCGACCTTCAACAAGATCAGGCATCTCCGACGGTTGAATCACAAGCGAATGAACGGGAAGAGCTTGCCATTGATTTCCGAGCCGAAATTTATATCTTATCAGAACTTGAAGAGCGACACGGCCGCGCACGGCAGCCGTAAGTTTCTTCAGCTGAACGCGTTGTCGGATCCGATGCTGAACGTCGATACTTCCGTGATAGACGCGAACGACTCGAGCCAAGCGACGTGCCACGCGAATAACGTTGCTTATCAGAAGCGGAATCCGAACATGTCGTTGACCGTGTCGGACTCGAATCTCAGGGCAAGAACGGTGCACGCTTCCGAGGTGGACGCGAGATTCTTCCGGGCGAACGACAGCAGCACGGAGGAACACGCCGGCTACTCCGCGCAAAATCTCAATCGTGGATACGAGGCCGCGTTAGCGAGGCACGCGATGATGCTCTATCAGCAGATGGAAGATCAACGGAGATCCAGCAAAGCTCCCTCCCGTCCGCGACCCAAGTTCCACGGCCATTTCGGGCGCGTGAGCCCGAATCTGAAGCGCAGATTACGAAACGAAAGATCCTCGTCGTCGTCGTCGGCGCCCGATGACGTCAGACTAAGTTCCGAGGCGAATATACCGAGGCGAAGCGTGTCGCCGGCCGTCCCACACGTAACCATCACGCCAAACAAATTGGCCAATCTCATTAATCTAGACCCACCGTCGAGACCCGCGCACAGGATAGATTTTACTGCCAGAAACACGACACAAGCTCATAGGAATTTGGAGATGTTGAAGCACTCCGAGTCGATTAACGCGATCGGCGATTCGGCGACGCGCCGTATAACTCTACTGGAGCCTTCCAACTTGATGGACTCGTTGCTCGTCCCGACGATACACTCGGAACCGCCGAGTCCGATAAATCCTCTCCCCGCGGCGCCTCTTCAGCCCGAAGAGACGCAGAGCCTCGGGATCCCGAGGCCCGTCGCGCAACGCACTAAATCGCCCGTTGGTAAAAAAAGCAGTCCTGAAAGACATTCCGATCCTATAGTACCCACCGTATTGCTAAACATCGAGGACTTGAGCGAACCGTTCGAACAGGGTGACAATCAGATTCAGAGTCAAGAGCTGTGCGACCCACCGTCCGGTAATACATCGACGTTAGAACCGATCGACCTTTTCGAGGCCCTGCTGAGAAACTCGGACAAAAGTAGGGACATGAGATTACCGGAACCCATCTTCGCCGAGCACGACTCCACTAGATTCAGCTCAAGACGACCGTCCGACTCGAAGTGGTCCGAGTCCTCCAGGAGTCAGGAGATCCTGCCGAGCGCGATGGAACACCAAGCCGCGTTCCCGTCGTCCTATTCGGTCAACAACTTTCAGACCTGTAACAGCGGCAGCGATCTCAACGACCTCACGTCCTTGGACCCGTTCATGTGCCCCGACGCCCTGACATCGTCCCTGCGCGAGTCCTTCTTCAGCGCGCCGTCCATGCCCGACTCGGACATGTTCACGTCCTTCGAGGAGAGCGACGAGCCGGTCTTCACGCCCGATTCCGAACGGGACGCGTCGGCGTACAATTCGATGTCGAACCTGAAGAGATGCGTCATCGAGACGGCGTTTCAAAGCAGATCCACGGAGTCGGTGCACCACGTCAGGCAGCCCTCGACACGATCCTGCGCGATTCTTAGACTAGAACCAGCCGTGCATTCGAGCAGATTGCGCGTCAGACCCTGCGCGGATTACATCCTGAAGAACTCGCCCGCGCCGGTCAAGAGAAACCCGCGGCTGGCGCCTCTCGCCATTCCCACACCCACCGACATCTGCACCCCCACGTTCGACGTCGTGTCGGAGATCAAAGGCGATAACGGTGTCGGCGTGAGAGTTTGAATCGTTCGCAGGATCAATGGGGAGGGGGGTAGGGGAGGGTCTGCGAATTCCCTCGCGTGTACCCTGTATTTGCACAAGAAGTATTTGTCAGTCGCAATCAAACTTTATTCTCGAAAGAATTTAGAGATTTGAAAGCCTCTATTGGCCTCTAGGGTAAAAAAAGAAGAGAAAAAGAAAAGTATCCGGAGAAGAAGTAAGTACACAGGACGTTTTTATACGCGCTAGATCACATATGCGAGCTAGCAAATCATTCGAAATGATACCGTCATGTGGTGTATTTTTAATAATTTCCTCTATTTACAATATGCCACTTAATTGAGGCAAGTTGCTCATGGGCCATAACTTATCGTTACATTTCTACTGAGGTAACGTTCACTTTAATTTAATATATATATAATATATATATACATATATGACTATTTACATACGATTATTTTGTTTGCACTTTTACATTTTTTTTATTTTTTTCATTACTTCATTCTTTCATACTTCTATTTTTTATATCAAGCAATTTCTAATTTTTGAAATAGTTAATCGATTGAATTTGCAATTATATATTTAAAAATTTAAAAACTCAATATTCTTAATTAAGGCGGTTTCGATGAGCAAAACGTTATCAAAAATATGCGCAGCGCTATATATAAAAGTCTCCTCTTACGTATGAATACATGAGAGAATCTCTAAATATTGATATTATACGTTTATGATTGGATTGATTGGACTGCAAAATGCTTTCAAATTACAATTTGATGTAAAAAGAGAAAATCGGATGATTAGCGGCGCTTTTCGTTTCTCAAGTTAATAAACAATATTCGATGTAAAAGAGAGCGATGCCGAATTTGTCAACATTCGAACGAATCATCGTTTTATCTAAATTAATGATATTTAAACTAACGATTCGTTTATTCATCCAATCGTTACCCGTAAATAATATTCTGCCTCAAATGCGAAACGATATTTATAGAGAAGTAGGAGGAAGTTCTCTGTGAGTGGTCCAATTGCGTTATCTGTTACATACGTCATACATATGTACAAATACGAGCGTGCGATTGCGTTTATATTCGAATCGAACGGTTATTCAAAAGTTCCGTAAATCGTGTGCCAAGCAAATTATATTGAATCCCAAATCTCGCAGGTCATCGAGTTACGCGCTCGAGTTACGCGTAATTACGTTCGATTATTGCTCGTGTACCTGACGAAAGATTATATACTTGTTGATTGGAAAAGACATTGAAGATATATTGCAGAATATTTACTAAAGTATTCTTTAATAAGATGCAAAACTCACACTAAAACCTAATATAATGCAGATAGCACATAGATATTTTTTATAGTCGACGAAGTTTGTATTCTCGATTGTCCTGGCCCTATTTTTGCGCGATTTCATTTTCCTGATAAAGCTCTTTCAGAAATAATTATCAAAATGTTTCCAAAACAATCATAAAAATGTTTTTCTATCAATATAGAGAATTATATATTACTTTCAAGAAGAATAATATAAAGGTTCAATTTGTTTATGCTAGAATTAGAAATATTTTTCTCAAACGGAATCACTCTCTCTTTTTTATCATTAAAAATAATATATATAAATGGCGTAACACGCTAAATGGCCAATCCATAAAATCATACATGTTAAATATAAATTATAAAAAAAAATTAAAGCTGTTGAAGATGAGGATGTTGTAAATAGATAGATAAATAAATAAAGAAAGAGAGAGATACATATATCAGTGACATATGTATATATCTATATGAAGTTACTTCTATTTCAAAGAAAAGGACCAAAACTAAAGCAAAAGCATAAATTTTAAAAGACAACTAATAGATTTAGATACATAATCATTCTACAAAATACGGTAATTAAAATTACCGTTGTATTTTCTTTACGACATTATAGAGATACCATGCACAAATTATATTGCCATTTCCATTATCTTACAACCATCTCTTAAAGATCTTTAATTTTATTTACGTCGCCGTAAGAATTGCTTTGCTAATTAATACGAAAGATGAAATTATCTAAGGGACACGAAACAAGAATAATCGCACTTCTTACAATTCAATGCCAATTAAATATCGAAATACTTTTATACGTAAGATCGAGAAAAATCGCGTAAATCGTGTAAATTATATATCCTGATAAAAGTTTTTCAAAAGAAAAACAAGAGAAAGAAAGAATGTATGTATGGGAGTTTTCTGTACTTCATGTACCTAACGGTGTCCCTGCACTTGAAATAATTTAAAAGCCGAAACATATATTGAAGAATATTTTACGACACATCTATGTATATATTAAAAAACGTGCGCAAGTGCAGGCTAAATATTATGAACTAGAGTCCCTCTAATAAGAGTCGCGACATCTTGAGTTTCGGCAAAATAAGAGAGAAAGAGGAAGTGATATATATTCATATCGCTTTCTCTTTCTCTCTTATATCTATTTCTGTTTCTCGTGCTTTTGCCGAAAATGCGAACCAATCAAAAGTTGCCATCTCCGTGTTGCGACTCTTATTAGAGGGACTCTACTAAGAACAAGGGTATTTATTTCTTTTCGCGTTCAAATAGTTGACTGATCTTGCGTGATTTGTCTTCCATATCGTACAAATTATAGATATTAATCTACATCAAGATATCAGACTTACTTGCTTTTTCTTTTTTATTCTTCTACTAATCTACTTTATAAAGTAATAACGGTAAGCATGATCGATGAATATTTTTTTTTAGTTAATAATGTTTCTCAGGAATACTTTAAATGCATATTAATTATGAAAAAGATATACTCTGTTTTTTTTTTCTATTGAATTTGAGAAAACATTAAAAAAGCAAATTTTTAAAGATTTTTAAAATATTTATCTTTAAATATATTTCCACACACTTAATCATTATGTTATAATAAGATAAAAAGATTATATTTAATCAAGAGACACGGGTAGTTTCTCGCGCCAAGTACACACGAAGCAAAATTTATTACAACGTTGAAATTTTCATAACTCTTCATGGGACACCGTTGAAACATATATGTTCTATAGAAGTAAAACTCGAGTATTCACAGAAGTGACAAACACTATATATTTTTATGAAATATATCTTTACTCTATGCGTATGTGTGTGTGAGTGTTCGAGTATGTTGTTTATATATGTCAAGTGTGAGAGAAAATGAAATATATCTTGATTCTGCAACACGACTCATTGGAAAAAAAAAAGTTAAGAAATGTTCCTTCTTTCTACATCACGAACGTGATTTCGAGATAAAAATGCCGTTTTTTCTATTCTGATAAGCAAAAACATAAAACACCAAAGAAATATATTGATTTAGAAAAAGGTAAATTAAACTTACAATTAGAAAATAATTGTTCGTACTCTAAATACTTATGTGTGTGACCTTTTCTCTTACCCGCCTAAGATCAAAGAGAATTAAACGGAGTTGGGGATAAAGTGAAAAGTACATGTTACCTTATTACGTAAAATATAAAGAGACGTAAATCGAAAATAGACGTAACATTGAAAGAAATCTCTTTTATATGTCATGCTAATGTTTTGATTTAATAAAAAAAATTTTCTAGAAATATATATTGATATAGATAATAATAATAACGATTCAACAAAGAATAGAGTAAGGATGATTAAAATATTGTCTAGTTGATGTCGTGTATTGATCATTATATTTATTGTTATATTCTTGCAAAATCATGTACGAAAAGTTATAACGCATGATCGAAATTCTGTGACGAGAGAGGGAATTTATTTCGGCGCAATTGTAATTATACGATCACGTGTATACACGTGCTATACACTTATCCATTTCACATATCCACACCACCTCACATACACACACACATGTACACGTACACAAAATAAAATTAAAATATAAGATTTAGATTCATATCTAGCATATTTGTGTAGCGTGTTATAATTTTCCTACTTCCAACAAATTCGACTGTCCTGCTGAGATTCTATAATATTTCTTTAAAAGTTTTTAGTTTTTTTTAAACAAAAATGGATATATTTCGTAATTTGAAATTTTTAACGTCTTATTACTTGAAAACATCTGATAATGCCGTTGCGACTTTCGACGCACGTCTCACTTTCACTCTGTTGTTTGTTTTGTTTCCGTCTCTGTCAGTCTAAAGGGCATATGAAGGTTTCGTTTCCGCGGCGACAGCGGCGTATGCGACGTATGCGTATAGACAGTTGGACAGTGTGCTGTAGACGTTTGTGGTGCGTGTTTCGTTGGTCGCGCTTATCGTCTTGTTCACGGGTGAGCTAATTGTTATAATTTCCTTTTGCCTATATAATAACTTGCTGAAAGTGCTGAAACCAGAACGGTCTGTGTCGAACTAGTAGTGTACATATGCATCTTTCAGGTGCATAATGAACGCGCGCGCGTGTTTATTATCTTGCCATAAAACATCAATCCTAATTGTTTTATAGTTACACTAACATAGAGTCGGTACTTCTATGTATAATCTGAACGTAATTACAAATAGCTGCTTAATTCAATGCATTGGTAATCTAATGTAAAGGTTAAAATAGGATATGTAATGCGTTGTTCTAAGTGGGTGATATATAATCCTGTTTATTTTCTACAATATTCGCAGATTCTCCTGTAAATAACATGGAATCAGGATATATAATAAGGGGTAATGAAAGGATTACCGCGAAAGAGATACCAAATTCGGATGCAGCCTCAGAATGCATCTGTTACAGACCGCATTCTAACATCATATGCAACGGTTGTGGATTTTGGACCAAAGGAAGAGTAAGATACTGCTGTCCTCAACATCCTAAGGTTACTATTGTTTCAATATTTCATTCCTCTTTGTCTTTTAAAATAACCTTTCTCGATTAGTTGAAGACGCTGTTCAAACGATATTGTTCAAACGGCAAATTTGAATAGTTATTACTAATGCTGTCACCTTGTTATTGTTATCATCTCTTTTTTTCTTATTTTACAGATTGTTTTTCTACACGATCATGCTCAATGTCCACGCTGCAGGAGCTACGACTTCATGCTTACAGAGATCTAAAGCAAACGTGTTTGTTTTTGTCAGATTAGAGTTAAAGTTACAGAGACATATAAGATTAAATATAAGTGAGATAGATAAAGATTTAGTTAGACGGTGCCAAATGATTAAATTAAATAAAGCTTATTACTGTTTTATTATAATTATACTGAATAAGTGAGCTAGTGAATATGAATAATATAACTGCCACAGACTTGTTTGGCAAGAAGACTGAGGTATTTTCATATCTATAACGAATGAAAGGACACCTATGGATCTGTTTAGAGTCAGAACTGACAAAATGTTTAATATTTGTTTTTTATTTTTATGTTTATTTTTTTCATAACACAGTATTAGAAGTACTAGTATATTGTTACAACATTAATAATAAAAGATTTTGACGGTAACATTAGATGAGAACAAATGATAGATTATCGAAATCAATACTGTGTTTTTAATGCTTTGTGTTCTGTTCTGAAAAAGTTGTCTTTTTTTAATACTTTCGAATAAAGTGCCTATATATCAAAGATCACACTTGTAAGATTAACAGACATAAAACAGCATAATCCTTACGCATATCCTAAGCATAATCCTTAAATATAATGTCAAAACTGGTCAAAACATCTAATTTTTTTTTTACTGAAACTATAGAGATGTCACTTGATATGTAATGTATGTTATTAGGACAACCAGCAATGTTAATTCACTTATTTACTGTACCATGATACTGTACGTACCTATATATCTTCAAGAGCTTTCATATAAACAAAATCATGTTTGAGGAACGAAATACAAAATACATATAAAATTTACATGTTAAAATTATTTGGCACGTGTGGAAAAAGAGAAGTATTTTCCAAATGTGTAATTATATGATTATCCAATTATATGTTTCATTTTTTTGGCAGATTGTTACATCCGTCCTCGTCTTAAGAGCATCTTTGAATTTAAATTAATATAAATTGTTAAAATATTGGAGGATATAAGTTTCTATAACCGAATAAAAGTAACGTAAAACGAATTTCGACGAATATAGAATATCCTATAAACTATGAAATGAAATGTCAATATAAATCCAGTAAAGTTATATGTCGATTCGTATTGCCATATGGCTGAGTGTAGAGGATAGTTTAACATTTTTATTTTTCTCTTTCTGGCTTCTTTTCTGTCAAGAATGCACAAGAGTGCCAGGATGATAAAGTCCATAAGTTTATCCGCCATATTGAAAGCTAGCATCGCGGGATACCCGCAGAGCAGTTAACCTTCTCGCCAATTGGTTCTTACCTGTGGATTCAACCAATCACATGCAAGCCGCGTTTGGCTAAGCTGCTTTATCCGGCTTGAATGCGCCAATGGTCGCGTTCAGCAGACCAAGCCGGTCAGTAACAATCGAACGTGATTGGCTCTTACTTTTAGAACCAACAAATCAACGCAGAGTGTTGATAAGACGAACTCAACAGTTGTGCAACAGTTGTGTCTGCTGAACGCGCCCAATGTTTGTCCTGATTAATTAACGAAATGGAAAGTTGTAAAATACAGGCAATTTATTATACATATCTCATGGAATTTACACGATTTTATTGCTCGTGCTATTATTGACTTTCGTGTATATGTGTCGTACCGATATCGCGTCTTGTGTTCATTTTTATCAATGCCGATCAACTTCAATTTCGATTTAACTTACTTTTTGATTTTTGCTAAGAAAAAGATAAAAAGTAAGTTAAACTGAGATAAAAGTTGATCTACTAATGTAAATTAACTCGGATAAAATTAATCTCAATTTAATTTTTTTCTTTTTTTAATTTTTAGAACTTAAAAAAATAAAAAGTCAAACCGATCATAAAAGTTAATTTACCAATGTAAATTAACTCGGATTAAATTAACTTTAATCTCAGTTTAATTTACTTTTTATCTTTTTCTAATTTTTAGAACTTACAAAAAATCAAACCGATCGTCAAAGTTAATTTACGAGTGTAAATCTCGGTTTAACTTACTTTTTACCTTTTTCTAATTCTTAAAACTTTAAAAAGACAAAAAGTTAAATCGAGATTAAAATTAATCCATCAATGTAGAATATAAATTAACTTATGAATTAAACTAACGTTAACCTCGATTTTAACTTACTTTTTATTTTTTCTAAATTCTTAAAGAGAGATAAAAAGAGAGATAAAATTAAACCGAGATTAAATTTAATCCGCATCGTAGGACTGGACACTAGTCGTTAATTTGACTCCCGTCGTATCGCGCGGCGTCGCGATCAGTCGCGATGACGTTGCGCAAGCGCCGTAAGCTGTCATTGGACGTACGCCGCGGATACGGAACGGTCGTCTCCGAGCCGAGCTGCCTCGCGTCGTAATTCAACCGGCAAGCAGAGTCGCAGTTAACCACATACATCGAGGTTCGTAAACTGTATGCGATGAATTCAGTGCGCATTGACGATTCGTTACCCCCGTTGACAATTATCTCGCTTACTCGAGCGAAATCCACTGCGCGAGCAGTCCGGGACAACGACGTGTGCTACTTTCACGACGCACATTTTCAAATATCGTGTCCCGTGGATATCTGTTCAATCTCAAGTGGCATATTTTACGACGTTATAACGCGAGACAGTAATTCGTCTTGATACGCGTGTGTGTGTGCGTGTTTTATTGGCGACGGGTACTTACAGGCGTCGGCTCAGCGTCGGCTCAGCGTCGGCGGTTGGTGGCGACGTGAAGTTGGCTGCGTGTTTTTCGAATCCCCTCACTCGCTCCACCATTTCAGATTCGTTCGTCACGGGACGACGCGAGTATCGTCGTTTACGCTCTCGTCGAAAGTTACGAAATGCGCGTACGGTTAATTGAGATCGGGATGAGTGCCGTGCAAAGTGTCGCGCGATCGTCGTGTCGCGGATGATTAGGGTTATAATCGCGCGCGATCGTAATTAACCCAGGTTTCGCGAGTGCAGCCGCGAATTTTTCGAGTCCCCTCACTCGCTCCACCATTTCAGATTCGTTCGTTACGAGACGACGCGAGTATCGTCGTGACTTTCTCGTCGAAAATTACGGAGTACGCGTACAGTTAAAATCGGGAGTGCCGAGCACAGTGTCGCGCGCGATCGTAATTAATCATGTTTCGCGATGTGTGTGCGTCATAAATGCAACGACGGGATCCGAGAGGAGGAGGAGGCCCGGGGAGGCATCAGGCGTCGGCGGAGCAACCCTTGGGTAAATAATCTATTGTTTATCGCTTATTATTTGCTTGCTATTTGTTACTTGCAAAATCGATTTATCCCCACGACGATTGCATCGCATTTTCGTCCATTTCGTATCATTGTAACAAAATGTAATGCTTGTAAAATATTTTTTACTTTTTGTCATTTCGCGATACACTTGATATATTAACGTATTCAAGTTTTATAATTTATTTCAGTTATTTGAATGAAAATTTATTCTCATTTATCGAATTTTATAAAAAGAGAATTATGTTGTTTTTTTAATAAAAGATCTTTTTCGAGATGAATAAAAAATGTAACGTGCGCAAAAATTAATTTCCAAAATACCATAATTATTTCGAAAACTGTTTTAATTCAATTACTTTCTTATTTTACAGATTAATGCATGTCCGCTGCTGCGCATCGTACCGGTGAGTCTTGAATTAGTTTTCATCTTAATTTTTAAGTGTAATGAATTTGTAAGAGAATGTGTTTTGTATATTGCATAATGATATTAAAAAAAGAACATTGTAAAGATCCATTGCTTTAAAAGTAATTTAAAACAGATTAATAATACATGCACAAAGCTCATTTATTTACTCAGTTTGTTATGGAATATAGATTTTGTTTGTCTTGTACAACGAAATGGTGATTACAAGATTCGTTAATATACATATTGCCTAAATTTCGTAGAACATATATTCGTGAATATGAACGAAAGAATGATATAGGATTTATCTCGTATAGATAGCAATAATTTCGTGACAGAGAGAAAAGAGCTCGCTCACATTTTGAAATCGTGTATTTCCAGTACCAAATATCCAATACATTTTCTTACAATTACATTGCGAAACTTAGTGACGTTTGAAGTTGACATTCCGGTAATAAAAAAATGTTTCGAGTCGTAAGTAGGTGATTTATTGAAATTTATCTAAATATTAGAAATAGTAGATTTTCAACAATATAACGATTCGGAAAAACAACTGTTATTTCAAGATAAGATTATATTGATCAAAAGATATCTACATTATCATATGATAAATTAATAAATCATCGACTTAGTAAAACTTCGTATTTCATACCGGAAGTAACTTTATCAGCTTGCAAATACTTTATTTGTATACGATCTATCGGCTGTTAAAATCGGCGGATTAAACATGGGTAATAAAAGTATCCGATTAACGTATAATAATTCGTAAAGTACGCTGCTATAACTATTTACTATATCGTATTGCGATAAAGATACATCTAATGAGTTAATCTAACGTTACGAGCTAACGGGGGCGATAGTCGAATGGACGAGTTAAAGGACCGAAAAATTGTAATCGACTAACAACGTTTAACTTATGGTCAATCTACTTGCAGTACGTATGGCTTCTAATTTGTTATAATTTCTTTTCTTCTCGAAACATCGCACATACAGCTCCCGTTCCGTAGGATTCTTAAATGTGATATTTAGGATGACTCATCGTATCATCGTTTCATGTCAGATTTGTTTGCTGTATTCGGAGTAATTTTATCTTATTGTTAGTAAAAATTTCTAAAGTTTAGTATCTTTTTCGGGCAATAAGTCGAAAATATTTTTAACGAATTAAATTTCCGGGCTGAAAGTAAAGTTTCATCTTTCGCTTCGACGCGGATATGTCATCTTAAAACTAGCTGCAAAGATATTTAATATTAGAGATTAAAAGTTTGTAGCAAATGATATCCTTCGCTGAAAATTATAAAATGATCCGAGTTTATAAAAAAGTTATTAATTTAAAGACTGAATCGATGATGAGGCATCCTACACTTTTTATTGGCAACTATGAGATACGAGTATATAAATTTCGTGTAAAATTCGCAATTTCAGCCAAATTATTCTGACTGCGATAACACAAAGAGACTTTTTTGGCAATTTGCTATTTCGGTTCTATCAGGAGCATAATTCCAATCAAAATGTTGATGTTGAGTCTTAAGGTAGTTAAATATTTAACAGTACCATTGTACAATAATATAAACGCATAACGCGAGTGTTAGGACAAGCTTACGATAATTTATAAGTCTCGATAACGATTTGGGAACAATACATATATCATGTGTATGTATGAGAACAACGCATACATACTATCATGTAAACTGCACTTTATATGTATATAAGTCACTCTTCGACTAAAAATTTGTTATCCTGAGTTTGGCATCTTGATCAAGACTTTTACCCGAAGATTACGCGTATATAACAAATCAATGGTCCAGTAGAAAATGATATAAAAAAAGAAACAATTTCCTCTTTCACAAGTCAAATGATTATTAATCAAGTTCAGTTAGCATACGTATACAGAGTTTCGCATTTTCTTAAATACACATAACTTTTAGATTCGAATTCGTACGCGTACATACATGTTACATGACACGTTACATGGGACACTGAAATAAGAACGAACGTCATAATTCTAGTTGCAAAATTCATTTATTTTGCTCTACGAACGCAGTCAAAATTCAGAAAGGACAGAATTTACTGATTAGTTCTGTACAACACATATATCTTTTGGGACTCATATTACTCAGAGTATCTAAACATATATATAGGGATCTATCGATAGCGCGATTGATGTATCGCGCGATCAATAAATTAAAAAATCAAACCAAACTATATACCACTCGTGTTTTCATAATCTAACATACACACATGAATATCTGCGAGAACACCACGAAGAATAATAATCATAACTATAATTTTCCCTCGGGGGAAGAACGTAAAGTGATTCGTTGAAAGTAATGAGAAGAAAAAGAAAAAAAAAGAGAAATGCGACGGGCTCGTAGGAACAATTGAGGAGTGGAAATCGAATACCGGTTGAAATTCATAAATAAAAGGATGATGTTCTGAGAGTTATAAAAAAAAGTATTTTGATACTATGTTATTCAAACTGCACAGATGGCACAAATTATTTTATTGTTTTAAATATATATATATATATATATATATATATATATATATTTAAAATAACATATTTAAAATAATTAATATATGTGTATATATATTAATATATATACACATTATATTAAAAAGTTTCCATACGTGCACATCATAATATTTAGAAATTTAATAATAAATTAATAATAAATACATCTAAAAGAAACAAATTTTATGAAGAAAAATTTGTAACTTTTAACTTGAAAATTTTGTTGATATTTGACTTCCACTCTTCCCCCCGCGGGGATCTAGCCTTAAAAGTTAGAAAGTATCGATGAAGTCCTTACGTCTCTCCTACAATTATATTGATGTATTACAGGTAATATAGCCAATGAATTACAAACAATAATAGCGCTAATGAATATGGTGAGGTTACTCCTGTTAATAGTCCTACATTGGTTTTTGTTTATTCGATCGTCTCGTATAATTTTAACGCTTTGGAAAAACGGCAGTTTCCTGTGAGTTACGATCATAAAGGCGCGATGTTACAGGATCCTCGTTTTTATTTTTTTCGTCAGAATCGCAACTGTAAATCTATTGCTAAATCACGAAGCTATGAAACCGCGTTGCACGTTGTGTTTTCCTAAAACGGAACATAATCCGAATTCTTAATAGTACTGCGAGATTGATATGGGTTTTAATCGAGCCATTTTCGTATAACAACGAGGCAGTGTTAGATCAGGTTTTGCTCTTTCATAGGCTTTTACACGAGTTAAAACTGTTGAATGCGTTTGTGGGCCTTCGTCTTACAAAATTAGCTGTTTAAAAAAAAACTCCGCAATTGGAGGAAATATAATAATAAATAATGTGATATTCACGATTATAATGAAAGATATATAAAAAGATATACAATTCTAAAAATTTTATTCAAATTTATGACATGATAATATTTTTTATAAAAGTCATCTTTCTCTTTTCCAAAAATAAAATCGAGATGTTAGAGATCTTCTCAAAGTTAATATTGAAAATTGCATAATAACGTATATACAATTGATATTATTTTCAAGTAAACTTTACTTTAATAAAATTATAATTCGAGATTTAATTAATTGATGTTAAAAATATATAAGTTATGCAAAATTTGATTTCAAAAGATTATCTGAATTTCTGTTACTTATTTTCTATCGTTTTATTGTGTTTTAAGAAATATAAATCAGGCCCGCAATAGCGTCATTAAGATTAACACGCTCAATGCCGTACGGACTTTCGGTAAACTTTCGTAGAAATTTCTAATTATGTATATTCTAAGATCATAAGACAAATGTGTCATTTTTTTCAATCAGCAACATACGCAAATATCTACAATCATTCTGTCTCAATATGTATGTTAAATAAAATTTCTCGGCACTATCACCATGGCATTGAAAATGTTAAAAGATTACACGGCGTAAACGACGTAATTGAGCGTGACTCGTACTCGAACGTGCGATCAAGATGAGCGTTTCGGCCTTCTCGACTATCGACGCAAAACAGTAGTATGAATGATATGGAAGTGATGATTCAGGCGATGTCGTGAAAGTCAGCCGAGAATGGCTTCAAGCCCATCTTCACCTCACCCTCGAGTTAATTTCTGTCGTAAATCAGTTGGCAGTTTTCTGGCTCTCATAGTGTGCGATAATATCAATGATCAGTCGATAGATGGGAACAGTCAACTTGTGCGATTATAGAACGTAACACCTGCCATTCTCGTTATTACATACATCAATTTTAAAATCGCTATTAAAACGCGTATACATTCGGTGGAATGGATAAATGAGATCGAATCATTTATCCGTGCCATCGTACATTTACATATGAAAAACGATTCGATCACTGATCTTAGACTATTGGTGCTTCGGTGAACATGGTAAAAAGCATAGCTCGCATTTGTCTTGACTACTTCGAGATGTGTGATATAATGACGAGAATAATACAATCTGTCGCAAGTATCGAACCGTCCATACTTCTTCGAGAAGACGACTTATAAATAAAATATGCGAGGTCTGTCAAGAGTGTATACCGTAAAATATCAAACCGTGCTTGCTCACGTGTATTGGTTCTGTGTTCGCTTTTGTTATACGCGCACTAGCGTAGACGTACGAGACAAGTAGCGTTCCTTTCGTCTTATCGCGTCTCCCTAGCATAGTCGGCGAACGTAATGTAAAGCAAACAACGCGAAATCGTCTATCGATCTATAGAAGTCTCCGCCACTCTTCTGACTTCTGACTGACTTCGACTAGACGCGGACACACTAAATCTGAATAAAAAAAAATCATAATCGCAACGGAATATCACTCAACAAAGACGATCGCTTTCGCGTATTGATAACAACGAATCGTTTCGAGCAACCTATGTCTATCAATATTCTTAAATCACAGTCAATTTAACAGGAATGGACATAATGAATAGCAGTAAAAGTAATAATAATCGATTCTCTGCCGAAAGTGCGATCCTACTTTTTAACCACTTATCATTATTTTCTAGTATTGTTTCCATACACATTTTAAAATCATGTTGAGCAAAAATGAGCGATAATCTACACATAATGTATCTACATTATCGCTTTGCACGTAATCTGAATAGCTAGCTGATACAAAGTAGCTTTGCCATCCTTTATTTATCTATGCAATTTCACATGAAAGCACATGAAAGTGTACACCAAAAGCTACTGTACATAAAGTTATAAATATAAAAGCATAAATATAAAGTGCATGTACTTTGCATTTTACATTCAGATACTTGCACTTGGATATTTTCATGTATAGTAGCATTTAGAGTACATTAATGCGGAATAATGCGGGTGATTAACTTTGCTATTAGATTAACTGTAAAACGATAATATAAATGCATTCCACATGTGTAGACTTTATAACGCAATATTAATTTATAGGAATGACAGAGTAAATCTACGAATCGATATGCTCTTCCGCGAGTGTTTCCAAATTACACGATTAAACATAGAAGAGAGTAGATCCAATTGGCCTACGTGACCTTTTTAAATCATAATTATCGGGTCAGTTTATTCGAATAACCACATAGAGCCATTCACCTCTAAAACTAAGCAGCTGCGAACTAAATTGCGAAACCACAGAATATAAAAGCTAAAATACATTCTTTTAGGCTCTTTGATAAATATTTCGCGACATTAGCTAGTTAACGGTTCCGTAATTGCAACATTCATAAAAAAAGAAAATTACATTACGCGAACCATATTAGGCAGACAAAACGATGGCAGAAAGCGTATCGATGCAAAAAATTCTAATATTAAAAAAATTTTTATAAATCTTATATAACAAAAACGCAAGCAAAACTAACGTAATTGAGTGAAGTTTATTGTGCGATGTATCTACAATTATTTAGACTTGAAATGCATTGTTTATCAGTTCACAAAGTTAAATATGCTGTGCGCAACGAAGATCTATGACATAATTTACAAGACAACGACTGTTAAAGGCGGTACCAATACAGTCTTAAAATAATTATCCTTAGTCAGTTTCACGGTTGCAGCAGTAAAATAAAACATCGACCAGATCTCTTAATGTCATTTATAAAATTATCAAGAGAAAGTACACTGAAAGGATAAAATTGATTTTAAATCGTGAAATTCACATTTGGCACAGATATAATCGATATTTTAACATACTGCAACTCTATTGAAATTACCTATCCTATCAGTTTTCATGTATAGTCGTTCTGTTTAGGCGGTGTCAAAAAAAATGTCATTACGTGTATAGAGTAATATTAGAAAAAAACCCCTCAAGAATAATAAGAATAGTAATAATTGATTACAGCAAATGACACTTCGTTTGGTTTGATTACTTTTTAGATCGATCACGTGCGAAATTACAACTAAACAAATTTTGTAACTTTAATTATAACAATTCATTGTTCTACCTTGTAAAAATTGTAATCGAAAATCAAATAATCAAACGTGAAGGAATTAATGATAGAATCTTACTGACTTTCGCGAAAGCAGCTAGAAAAGCAGCGTATATACGGGTTAACATAAAACGTTAACGATACAAATAGAAGTTGGTCATCATCAAGGAAAGTAAAATAGTATAGCCGTAGTAATATCTAAAGAATTAAAAAAAAATGTGAGCGTTTTTCCGTACAATACTAATTTTCTATTTTCTTTCTCTCGTTATAGAGCCGCCGAAACAAACGATAGTTTTACGAACTGCATCTTAAAGTAGCGCATTACGTTTTTTTTTTTTTTTTGACATAGTACGATTTACATAAAGTATATGTGGGATCAATTAATATCAGTTTATACCTGCGAATAAGTACTCATGGATTGGGGTTATGCATGAAGGGCTCCTTAAACTGTATAAGAACAAAGTTAAGATGTCGCCGCTACAACTACAGGAGGAACAACGTCGGGTTCTCCGGCACCGTCGGCTACGGCGGAATCGACGACTTTTTTAACTTTTATGGATTCCGCACTACTTTCTGACAAACTCTCAGGCTCACCGTTTTGCGCTGCCGCGTCTTCATTCGTCGCCTCCTTCGATGGCCCTTCATTCAGTCCGTTGCTATGTAACTTGTCATCCAACACTGGCACATCCGTATTTCCGTTCTGTGTGGTTCCGTTGAGTTTTTGCTTTTCCGAATCCACTGTATTTTTGTCCTTGGTATCCACTACATTCTCTTCTTTCACTGTCTCCTTTTCTTTTATTGTCTCCTGCTGCGTAGTTTCGTTCTCGCGTTTATCAGCATCAGTCGTCTTTGTTTCCATTTCTTGGGCCACTTTCTCATCGACTTTTTCGGATTCTGCAGTTACTTCCGAACTCTTTCCTGCAGATACTTCAGTTGATGGCGTTGTTTCTTTCCTTACGTCCGTAACTGTTGCTTCTGCTTCTGTTACCGTTATAGATACCGTAGTTTTTTCCGCTGCTGTTTCCATGGCCTCTCCATTTTCTGTGACATCAGTCGTTTCCACTTTTGTTACTTCTTGTTCGTTCTTTGCTAAAATATTCTCACTTTCAGGTGTAATCTTTGATTCTTCTTTTACTTCGTCTTTTTTCACTGTCAAGCATTCTTCAGATTTGTTCGCTATATTTTTGTCACAAGTTTGTGATTGTGACTTATTGCCATCTGCTTTCTCGTCACTTTCAACCGTTTGAATTTTATCAACACCTTCAGCTTGTACATCCTTTGCGATATCTACAGAATCTTCGACCTTTTTCTCAGAAGACGCGAGAATGGTCTCAGACTTTGATACAGACTCTGGTACAGATACATCCATAGAATCATCGGCAGCAGCAGTAGTTTCAGTTGCGATTGTATCTAATTTTTCTTCAGTCTTCTCTGCTACAGTGTCTTTATCATTGTCTTTTGTGGCTAGTGTTGCGTCATCTTTCACGGTGCATTTGGCACTTTCAGAGGAACCTGTATCCTCATTTTTATCCTTAAGTTTGGCATCAGATTCTGTCATCTCCTGCTCAGTATTTGAAACATCTTTTGCTTCTTCCACTTGTCCTAAAGAATTTGAAGTATCTTCTGATGGTTGATCCTTTACACCTTCTTTTCCTATCGATTCAATTACTTCTTTTGCATCGTTTTTTTCAACTTTTTTATCGTTGACATCTGACATCTCTACATCTTCAGAAGTGTCCATTGGCTCGTCAGCCGTACCTTCATCAACTTTGTCATCAGCTGTTTCTAACTTTTGCCGCTTTGTAGACGTTTGAAATGTCAAGTCCGAGAAAGACTTAATGGTTGTGTATTTAACTTTCTCTTCATCAGTTAGTACAGAATTACCCTCACGTACTACGATCACTGTTGATAAACCTGCTTCCTTCGCAGCTGCGGCTTCTGTTATTGATTAAAAGAAGAAAAAAAATGAGTAAAGATATTTGCAATTATTATCCGAATATGACAGACAATCTCTTTCTCTCTCTCCCTCTCTCTAACTGTTGGACTTAAATCAGTATTGCTCTCTCCCATTCTCTCATTCAAAAAGAAAAGGAATATACAAACCTTTTACAATATCAGTGAGAAAAATAACATCAGATGGTTTCTCGCCGATTTTACTTAGTATATTTTTATAGCTGTCACTTTCTTGCTTTGCACCTACTTCTGTGTCAAAGTAACCACTGAAATACTAAAAAGAAGAATATCATAGTTTATACAAATATTTTGCCAGGATATTTGATAGGACATTTTCATAACATAATGTAATATTATTGTCAAATACCTTAAGCAAATCGCCATGTACAGAATATCCGAAAAGGAGCTTCTGTGCCTCAACACTGCCACTTGAGTAGACGTATATTTTTTTGCCATTTTTTGTCCACGATTCAAACGCTTTAGGAACATCTTCATAAACACTAAACAAGATTTACTCTATTGAAGCTTGTCGTTAAAACTTAACTTAAATTCTTTTAATTTTCATAAGCAAATTTTATCATCTTTATTATTTCTTATTAAATTACAATTTTCATAATCAAATGTAATTTGCAAAATTACTGTTCTAAAGAATTAAAATTGAGAATGGATAAATTTATTTATAAAACTATGTTTTGCATAATAAAACTAGCTGTCTAGGAAAAAAGTAATTTTTAATGCATCCAACATCCAGACTGCAAAACATTTCAAAAGTCAGAACAAAGTCTAAGATTAAAAATACGAGCATCACAGAATTTATGTTTACGCATATAATAAATAAGAGATCTTATGTAAAGTATGAATATAAATGAGACATGACTGAAGTGAGCCCAAGTACTACTATTCACCTCACTAGTTATATATATTGTTTTTTTTTTTATATGTGCATATTATAGATAATGTCTTTACATTTTTATCTAATTATATAATTTATATAGACTGTATACACTTATGTATAGACTGCTAATCTTTTATGTGAAAGATTTATGTAGGGATTTTGTAAAGACAATATGATGCATATAGAATCAATCGAATTATCTGATACAGATAAAAACGAATTAGAGCAAAAACAAGATAAAATACTTACTGTCCCTTAACTGTGCCTGTTTTATACGCTTCACGCCACATATGTCCTTGCAGTTGCTTTAATGCACCTGTCTTACGATCGTTATCCATTTGCCACAAAATATTTTTCAAAAGCGAATCTTTTTCTTCTTCGGGCTTATCGCCAGTAATCGCTACAAAGCCATCTAATTTATCTTCCTCGTCCTTTTTCGCCTAAAAAAGCGCATTAATAAACCACTGGG